GGATAGTATCCCATTCCTCAACCTAGAGGCTAAGAGGGTAACGTCGGCTGCTTGTTAGACTTTCATACAGTTTATGACCTCCTAACCACACACGATCATTCGATTCTTCACGTCATAATTGTTAGCTGGGGGAGCAACACCCGAGTGAAGCTTTCTCAACTAGAGTCAAATCCATTTTACCTTTACAAAGCAATTTAGTTTTAGGCCTTTGTTTTCACCAAAACCAATCCGCTAGATAATGTTTCAAACAGTCAAAGTAGCGTTACATGGACCGGCCCTGGTCGATATTTAAACATACTTGCCCTATATTGCACCCATCTAAGGTTTATACTTGGATCTTAGGTGGGATTTTATTGTGATAGTTAGAGAGAGTCATTATGGTTTTAGCCTCCCTCGCCCTATATACATACCCCCACCAAGAATATTTATTCACATATAAAAAATACATGGATCAAATTGTAACATATCAATAATAGTGAGGGTAACTCGAGAAAATAAATAGTAGAAATGCAATTGAGTGTCCGCCCAAATCAAAACCTAATTTATTTTCCTCAACTCTCCCTTCGCTCTTTCACTTTTTCCCTCGTTTTAACAAGATTATGTTAGTTATAGTTAGTTATTACTTAGTAGATGTAAGAGAATAATGTTTTGTATTACATTGTACTCTATCTTATGGATTAATGGATGTTTTAAGATAAGATGGTTTGAACCATATTAAGAAGTATTGACTCTTTGTCGACTTCCTGATATAGTAGGTGCGTTTAATGTTATAAATTAAAAAATTGGACTTTGCTATGGTGACTTGCAAATCACCGTAACTTGGACAAAACGGTCGACCTGTTCACTAATGAGGTCGACCTATTTGGACAAAACGACCGACCTCTTCACTAATATGGTCAACCTATTTGGAAAAAATGGTCAATCTCATTGTTGAAATGGTCAACAGATGTACTATTTTTCATTTGCTATATTCAACAAACGGTCAACCTCTTTCACTAAAAGGCACTATACAAAAAAATGGTCTACCACTTCCATCAAGTGGTCTACCTCTTTCTTCAAGCGGTCCCCCTCTTTCAATAATTGATCCACCTGATGAACCATTCCTAGTGATATCATCATATATAAGTAGAGTCCAATAACAATAGATATTCTTTCTAGTAAGAGATTTAAAATTAGTACAAAGGCTGCAAGCATAGATGACAAGTTTCTCAAGTGAATGTTCTACCGTAGAATTGAAAAATGTTATGCATATTTATTTCTTATGTTGCGTTACTACAAAAAAAAATTATATTTCTGGTCTCTTATTGTCCAATATTTTCCTAATGTAAGTATAAGGTAACTGTGTTATCTGGTTTACTAGTCGCCGAAAGCGGGGATCATTTGCCGAAAGAGATATGTAAACCATTTTGCGGAATTGGTAGGTTATTTTGGCGGAAGCGGTCTACCTCCTCCAACAAGCAGTTGTAAGTTGATGGTAAGTGTGTGATGTCGACCCCATTGTTAGAAGCGGTAGATCAGCTGCCTCGAGTGGTATACCACTTGGTGGAAGAGGTCGACCACTTAAGGTAATTGTGTCATCAGGTCAACCCATTTATGAAGCGGTAGACCGGCTGACTCAAGTGGTAACCACTTGGTGGAAGAGGTCGACCATTTTCTTGGAAAGTGGTCGACCACTTGGAGGTAAGTGTGTCATCAGGTCGACCCATTTCTAGAAGTGGTAGACCAGATGACTCAAGTGGTAGACCAATAGGTGGAAGAGGTTGACCCATTGAACGTAAGTGTGTCATTAGGTCGACCCAATTTCGGAAGTGGTAGACCGTTTGACTCAAGTGGTAGACCACTTGGTGGAAGATGTCGACCATTTTCTTGGAAAGTGGTCGACCACTTGATGGAAGAGGTCGACCGTTTTACCCCAAATGAGATTTTCCCCCCAAAGTACACATAGTCTTAAAAATAATTCTGAAAATACACATGTTTTATAAAAAATTTCAATCTACCCATGTTTGGGCAAAACCGCTGGAGTCGGACGCGGTGAACAACATCATTGCCGGAGTCAAAATAAGGTAACCACAAGTCTACATTTTTCTACATAAAATAACAATTATAAGAAATAACATTAATACAATATATTGTCTAACGTGAATTCATAACTCGAATTCCAACACGTAAAATTAAAAATAATCAAACGTCTTCATCCAATTAGCGAGTACCACCTAGCTATACATCACATATAAGTACCACAAGATCATCATCATTCACAAACATTAAACAAATAAAGACTACTATAGGGAGCGAGGTTCGCTCTCTCGACTACAACAGGGAGCGAGGTTCGCTCTCTCGACTACAACAGGGAGCTAGAAAGAGAAGTGACTTTCGGTATCTGGAACATTGAAACATTAGGTGGAGAGTCGTTTGAGATAGGCGAGAATTGAAATGTTTGGAAGTACAACTCTGGTTGCTCTTGAATTTTGAGACTTTTCTCCTTAGCCCATAATGGATTTGCTTATAGATTGACCACTAAGCAAAATTTTGAAAAAAAGTTCACAACTTCTTAAGCAAATTTTGCAAACACGATCTAATGTAGCCTTTCCACAAGTTTTCTATTTTTTGTTTTTTTTTTTTTTGTTCGTTGCTGAGATGAAAATTGAAATGTTAACTAAATAGGAATATTTTGGTCCATTCAATTCCTTCCACTTTCGAGATATGAGGTCCCATTGTTCTGGTGGTGGTGCTACCTAGTGGCTGGGGGTGTCCGTTGCCGTTTATGCTTCCATTGCGATAACAATCCGAATGGAGGCAATACGACAAAGTACAAATGTTTCCTTTTATTAGTGTTGTGTTGTGTTGTCTGAGAGGAATCATTAAACAAGAAAGCATGTACTTTTCTTGACAGCGTACGTGAGACAGTCTGAGTCTTGCTCTTTCTTTACAAAGAGGAGAAGAGCGGCAGTTTTTTTTTTTTTTTTTTTTTTGCCAGAGATAAGAGCGGCAGTTTTTAACTACAACGTTTGTTTTCATCGTTAAAGAAGAAGGAAACAATTCGTGGAAGAAATTCATTCATCAGATCCCCTTCCTGCGGTGCAACCCGCCAAACCGCGGGGAAAAGGCAGCCATTTGTCTCCTTTTTTCGGGAGCGGATCGTGTCAGTAACTGATGGGTCAGTAACCCATCAGTAACCCATTCTCTGATCTCCACGTGTCAGTCCACTTTTTTATTTAAATTAAATGCGGAAGGGCAGTAAGGTAAAATGCACTTATCCCCTATTTATTGCTGACGCGCTGACGCGCTGACTTTTGACCGACCACATCAGGACCTCCTTCTCTCTCATCGAAAAACCTTTAATTTTCCTTCTCTTAATCTTTAACGGACGATTTCTCACTCGTTTTAAGTCGAAATTTAATTTTTTTTTCACAGTTAGATCAGATTAATTATGCTCTTCAAAATGATATCCACTTTGATATTTTTTTGACACAAATTTTTTTTCCAGTTATTACCAGTCTATACCATATGGTATAGTGTGGTAATATCAATATATATTTCGTTACCACCCAATACCATATGGTATAGTGTGGTAATATCACACAATACCATATGGTATAGAGTGGTAATATCAATATATATTTCGTTATCACGCAATACCATACATTACCATAGGGTATAGTGTGGTAATATCAATATATATTTCGTTACCACCCAATACCATATGGTATAGTGTGGTAATATCAATATATATTTCGTTACCACCCAATACCATATGGTATAGTGTGGTAATATCAATATATATTTCGTTACCACACAATACCATATGGTATAGTATGGTAATATCACACAATACCATATGGTATAGAGTGGTAATATCAATATATATTCCGTTACCACGCAATACCATACATTACCATAGGGTATAGTGTGGTAATATCAATATATATTTCGTTACCACCTAATACCATATGGTATAGTGTGGTAATATCAATATATATTTCGTTACCACCCAATACCATATGGTATAGTGTGGTAATATCAATATATATTTCGTTACCACACAATACCATATGGTATAGTATGGTAATATCACACAATACCATATGGCATAGAGTGGTAATATCAATATATATTCCGTTACCACGCAATACCATACATTACCATAGGGTATAGTGTGGTAATATCAATATATATTTCGTTACCACCCAATACCATATGGTATAGAGTCATGAATATCAATATATATTATCTAAAAGGAAAAAAACAGAAAGAGGGAGAGGGAAAAAAACTCTTCTTCTATTTCCTCTCATTTCCTCCGCAATCAAGAACACCAAACGCCAAAAAAGGGAGAAAGACCGACATTGAGGCCAACGAGTTGATGAAGAGACAAAAAAAACGCAATGAAAGATGGTGGCTGCAAATTTTCTTCGTCAATTACTGGAGAGAAAAAAATGAAAAAAGAAGAGAAGGAAGCAGATCTAGATATGGAGAAAGAGATTGGAGAGGAAAAAAAAAGAACAGAGAAAGAGAAATGATAGACTGAGGGAGAAAGAGAAAAGAGAGTTGCAGAGAAATGCTTCTCTCTCCTCCTTTGAAAAAGCAGCCATAAAAAGTGGTCTCCTTTTTTTGAAAAAGCGGCCATTAAACTTGGAATATAAAAAAAATTCATAAAACGGACAAAAATGCCCTTCTGGACCCCGCATTCAACCCAGCCGCATGATTGATTCACCCCTAAATCTACGGCCCTAAGGTGGTTACTCACTGGTGAGTAACAAAGGGTTACTCACCCTATCTCAAGCCCCTTTTTTCTTCTTTCCCGTCGCAAATTCGTAGGGAGAAGAGAAACTCATATTCTTTTTCCAGCCGAATGATTTTTATATATTCCCTTGGATCTGAATACATTTTTATTTTATAATTTTGTCCTCTTCATATTATTATTATGGTCGTCACCCATCTTCATAAATAAAGCACAAAAATACAAGCTGACGGCACAACCAACAAGGTGAAGAAAAAGGAAAAAACCCACCTCGGTAAAATCCAAGATTGCCCCATTTCTCCCCTAGCAGTAGCACACTCTGTTTCTCTTCTGGGTTTTCTCTGTTTCACTGTAAAGTTGAGATTTTTAGCCTTCATTCCTCCAGTTTACACTCAGAAGTGTTACCCTGTTTTCTTTATTTTCTAAACTTTCACAGTCATGAAACAATGGAGGTCACCTTGTTGGTTGGTTTGGGGAAGGGAGTAAGGCTTTTGCTGAGTCAAAGCTGAAAGAAGAGGAAGAAAGAATCTTTTAGGCAATGGCGGAGTGAAGGAGATTTTATAAAAAAACCCACGAGAAGTGAAAAGGGGGAAATAAATGGATAAGTACTGAGAGGAGGGAATTTATTTCTTCTTCCTTCCAGAGTTTCATTTTCGGGGGTGATTTCATCAGGGGGACATGGGCGCTTTTCTAATTGGAGGGAGAGAGAGAGCGCTGTTTCTCTTTATTTAGCCGGTGATGATGATGATGAGATCGGTTTTTTGTTGTGTTGTTTCCATATTTGCTGGTTTGCCTACGTATTAAGTTTTGGTCAAGGCTTTGAGGGCTCTCTCTCTCTCAAATTCTCTTTATAATAATAGCAGGAGAATCGTTTGGTATCTTCGAGAATCTTTGACATACAAAAGTGAGTTCCTCTTCTCTTTCTCCTGCTGCTTTCTTCTTCTTCTTCTGGGCATGTTCAATTCTGGAGATCTGGTTTGAAATGGTATGAACTAAGAAATGCTCTACTGTTTCATCTCTGTTTTGTGTGGGGTTTAAAGGAGATCACTTTTGATTTGGGTTTTTCTCTTTGCTAATGAGTTCGGTCCGAAATTGGAATATGATCAAAAGAGGGAAAGAAATTTCCTGATGTGGGGAATCCATGGATGGGGCTGAAAAAGCACAGCTTTTCTTCTTTCTTCTCCTTTTTTGGGTCTACTTAGTGGATATAGTGGCTTCCTTTACTTGATATGGTTGTTTGTCAAGTTGGACTTTTTCCATCACCCTCTTTTCCCCTTTTCCATCTTGGTGTTCATGAAGTTCCTTCATTGACTCTATAAATGTGTTAGTAGTCAAAATCTCTACTCTATTCTTCAAATGCAGTCTTTTCTCAGATATGGAAGCTTGTTGTATTTGCCAATCTGGGTTGGTCTTCTTTTCACTATTTGTAGCTTCTGATGTATTGACTATGGCAGGATTGAACAGCTTTGAAACAGGTCTATAGGATTTCAAGACAGTGTTCTACTTTGTTTCTTCAAAGAAGTTGTTTGTTCAATTGAGCCTGCTTTTTGGCAAAGCATGGATGGCTCTTGGCAATCGGGAACCCTGCTGGATTCTTTGGCCGATACCTTAGCCGACAACACCATGGATTTCGATTACATGGATCAATTGCTTCTCGACGGCTGCTGGCTGGAGGCAGCAACTGATGGATCAGAGTTCTACTACCCTGGTCCAACCGATTTCACTTTCCATCCATCGGAGATCACCAACAATGTCAATATGTCTACAACCAGTACTCCTCAAATGGGCAATGAAGCAGTAGCAATGAGGAATTCTTCACAGAATGAAGTTGGTGTCTCAGGGAGGGAAGAAAATGGAAGTGATGCAATTGAAGGTTCTAAAAGGTGGTGGATTGGACCTAAAGCGCCCGGGAGCTCAGTGCGGGACCGATTGATGGGAGCCATAGGTGGGATTCGAGACTTGATCAAGGACAAAGATGCACTTGTGCAGATATGGGTGCCAACAGATCGAATGGGGAGGCGTGTATTGACGACATACAATCAGCCATTTGCTCTCGATGGGAGCTCCCAGATGTTGGCTAATTATAGGGACATATCGATAAACTACCAGTTTTCAGCTGAAGAGGAGGACTCCAAGGACCTTGTTGGGATGCCCGGTCGAGTGTTCTTGAGGAAAGTGCCTGAATGGAGTCCTGACGTTAGGTTCTTTAGGAGCGAGGAGTACCCGAGAGTGGATCACGCTCGACAGCACAATGTGTGTGGCACTCTGGCTGTTCCGGTGTTTGAGCAACAGAGTAAGAGTTGCTTGGGTGTGATTGAGATTGTGACGACGAGGCAGGAGGTCAAGTATCAGTCGGAGCTCGAGAAGGTGGCCAAAGCCCTTGAGGTTAGTAGTGGATTCTTTACTTTCTATGAAGTCTTAGCTTGAGTTTTTGTAGATGTGAGGATTAGGCAGTTCCATATGCTATGTGCAAAAGCTCCGTATGGATTTTGTTGCTGGTTTTCTTTTGTACTACAACTACCAATTCGGTTTGCTTGAACAAATAGTGGATTCATCTACTTGTCTCCCCATCCCATTGGATATGTTTAGAAAGTGTGCTAAACTAAGTGATTCGTATCGAAATAGTCACTCCGTTGAGTTTATCATTAGTTTGGTTGAGTCAGCATGTCAAAATGAGCTCGCCATATCACCAACATCAGCCAATCAGACCCTCGGCCCTAACCTACAAACCCGTCTCCTGCAACATTAATGTGAGCAAAAGTATGAAGTCCAAGATCCAACCAACCCTCGATTTTGAAAGGGTTGAGGTCGGTTGGGTATGTGGTGTGCTGACTTGGTTGATCTTGGTAACTTGGCGAGCCTATTTAGCATCCTGACTCAACCAAACTAACAACGGATCCAATGAATCGTCTGTTTTGGTACAAAAATCACTGAGCTTGACTAGAGTTTCGCCAAGATTTTCCATTTAGTGACCATTTCCTTACAAAACCTCGTAGTGTACTGGTCACTTGGGCAATGAACCCTGAAAGAAAGAAGTGATTGTGACCAAGAGGTTTCTAAAGTATCGAACTTTTTTTCCCCCTCCACCTGCAGGCTGTTGATCTTAGGAGTTCTGAAATTCCCAGCTCCCTGAACATGAAGGTAAACTGATAGATATTCATTGGAAAGCGATGAATTCAAATAATCACAACCCGATGTTCATTCTCTGAATCACATTCCTTCTTCTCCAGGCTCAAGATATTGCTTACCAAGCCGCATTGCCTGAAATCCAACAAGTCCTGAAATCAGCCTGCGAGACGCACAACCTCCCCTTGGCTCAAACATGGGTCCCCTGCATCCAGCAGCAGGGGAAAAAAGGCAGCCGACACTCCGACGAGAACTACTCTCACTGCGTCTCCACGGTCGATCAAGCCTGCTTCGTATCCGACGATCGAATTCGTGGCTTCCACGAGGCCTGCTCTGAGCACCACTTGCTTAGAGGACAAGGCGTCGCGGGCAGAGCATTCACCACGAACCAGCCTTGCTTCTCCAGCGACGTGACCGAGTTTTGCAAGACGGAGTACCCCTTGTCGCACCACGCGAGGATGTTCGGATTGTGTGCCGCGGTGGCAATTCGACTGAGGAGCGTCCACACGGGTTCTTCGGATTTCGTGCTCGAGTTTTTCCTGCCGGCGGACTGCCGGACGGCCGAGCAACAGGAGGAGATGCTGAATTCGTTGTCGGTGATTATTCAGAGGGTTTGCCGGACGTTGAGGGTGGTGACGGATGAGGAAATTGAGCGGGAAGAAGCTGGTCATTCGATTGGTGGGCCTGATCGCCATGTTGGTGGTTCTTTTGGGCCTCCTCTGGCTGGTGATGGGCTCGAGGGAGCCCGGGAATGTGAGGGTGACGTGGCGTCGCCCGAAGTAGGCGCCGGATTGAGGGGGAAATCGCCGGATGGAAAGGGGAGTGGTGAGAATGAAGGACGGAGTTTGAGTACTTCTGGCGAGGGGAAGCTAGTGGATAGAAAGCGTACCAAGGCAGAGAAGAAGATCACATTGGAAGTTCTTAGGCAGCATTTTGCTGGAAGTTTGAAAGATGCTGCCAAGAGTCTTGGAGGTATGGAAAAATATTTCGATCTTTATGCTTTCGATTTTGGTTGCGTGCTAATTCGGTTACGAAGCTCGGTGTTGAGACAATTGAAGTGTTCACCATTACTGAATTCGGTGCACAATGTGATTCATATAAGCGAGTTTGGTGATGAAAATGCTAGTTAGCTCTTCAAACTAATTTGTTGCTGACTGCTTGCTTGCCTGTGCTTTCTTCTCTTGTGATTGTAGTGTGTCCAACGACATTGAAACGAATCTGCAGGCAGCATGGGATCACGCGATGGCCTTCTCGAAAGCTAAAGAAGGTTGGTCACTCGCTGCAGAAGCTCCAGGTCGTGATGGATTCTGTTCAAGGCGGCTCTGGTTCGTTACAAATTCGTTCGTTCTACTCCAGCTTCCCCGAGTTAGGCTCTCCACCGACTTCAAAGCCAGACGATAACCCGAAGCTTTTGTGTATGCAGCCCGAGGCTGCATACATTTCTAGTAGTGCCCTTGTAGCTGCAGTTAAATCGACTTCTTCATCATCGTGCAGTCAGGGTTCTAGCTCGAGCCACTCCTTCTCGAGTGAGTCGCATCAGCAAATTCAAGCCACTGAGGGCCCTTCCGTTGTGGGAAAGGAATCGTCCTCGTCCGGTGCAAGTGGCGAGGTAAAAAGGGTCAGAAGTGAAGCAGAGCTTCATGCATCAGAAGAGCCTGTTAAAGTACAACTTCCAAGAGCTCAGAGCCACCAGTCTCTGGCAGAACGGAGCAATTCGGGTGATCATCCTCCCTCGGCGAAGAAGGCTGGCGTTCGGAGGGTCCCCCAGTGGGACGCAGATGCTCAGAGAGTGAAGGTTGCGTATGGGAACGAGATAGTGAGGTTCCGAATGGCAAACAACTGGAGGTTCAACGACTTGTTGATGGAGATTGCGAGGCGGTTTGGTATCGATGACATGAGCAGGTTCGATGTCAAGTATTTGGACGACGACTCCGAGTGGGTGTTGATAACGTGCGACGACGATGTTGAGGAATGTATCGAAGTCTGCCTAGCATCTGGGAGCCAAACTATAAAACTCTTGCTCCAGGTTTCTTGTCGAGGCGTTTGATGAAAATGCGTTTGTAGATATAACGTTTGTGTGTACAGTAAAAGTAGGAGATGATTTCATGTTTGGAAGGCAAAGTGTTGTTTAGCTCTAGAAAATGGTCTTTGGAACATTTGAATGCAAAGTTCTTATGTAGGTGGTTGAGTTAGCTTGGTTTTTATTTGGCTGATTCATTATTCTTCAAGGAAGTTAATAAACTCGTATGAATTCTTCTGTTGTTGATGGACAACAGATGGGACCTGTCATATAGTTTGCAAGTGGCGAGTCAAACTTGATTCAGCGTAGTGTTTATAGGTCGCAAAAGAAATAGAGTCGTCCATTTGATAGCGATAAAGGCTCTTTCATAGTACCCTAGTTAGCTAAATTTTGGTTTTTGTTCTTGAATTTATTCCATGGTATAACTCATTGCATCTCTTTTTACTCGGTAACAAGTGGTCTAATGGAGAAAAAATGCAGGCACTAAGTTCTGCTAGAAGCGAACACATTACACATATGAAAGCCAACTTTAAGCACAATTTGCTATCATTTGCTTTCCTTACATTTACATGTCAGAAAGCCTTGTTTTTTGTTTGATTTTACAGTGTAGTTTGTTAAGCTCAAATTGTACATATGGTAGGTTCGATAAAAGCAAAGATCACACTAGCTGATAACTTGAAAAAATTACACTCTACACAAATTGGTACTCCATGGCTAAAATCATCTATCGTCCGCCGATGATCTTTGCTACTTCAGTAAGTAAGGACACACTCTATGTGCTGCAATCAGCTGTAACTTGATATCTTCTCATGGCCGCAACGAGACAGAAGGCCGGTCTTCTTGCTTCTCGACGAGCTTACATCTTGACGGTGGACCAAAAATGCTCAATACCACCTGCAAAACAGGAGTCCAAGGGCTCAAAACCAGAGCGGACAAGAGCGAAAACTAGAGTTCTGTTCCATCCGGTAAAAAGCTAATGAGTCGCAGAAGTTACCGGTAAAAATACGAGGCCGTGCAAGAAGCCTAAAAGGACCAAGGCTAGGTACATTTGGAAGTAGTAAACCTGAAGGGGCAGAAATGGAGAGCTGTAGTGTTACATACGGAGGGAAGTATAGTTGGTAGTGCAATGGTGAAAGTTGGCAGAAGGACTGAACAGGTGTGAGTAAACAAACCACAAAAACTTCTGTTCTTGAGAAGCAGAGAACAATGACGCCAACTAGCTTAGTTAGAGTGATTCCACTGTAAAAAAAAAACATACAAAAAACCGTGACGCTCAGGTGTCAACTATGAGGTCCACCTCAGAAAGTCGGATCTTGTTGAACGAGCTGTAGAGAGGGAGTGCGAGAATGTAGAACCTGAAGACAGAAGCTCCCATTGTTCCCAGAGCCTCCTTTACTCGCTGCTCTCTGTCGCCAATGCTCACCTAATGAAAAGGCATAGGTAAGGAAGAGATTAAATTATTGCAGCAAACCACAACATGAACTGAGTAGTGCTGCTTACCGTGAAGGCGTGTGTTATATGTACACAGAACTCAACAGCAATGCCCACTGACATGACAAGGTTGACAACTGAGACTGCATTCAGTTGGATATCGAGAATTGCCATCACCCCCTGTGTAGTTTCTCACAGCTTGTTAGCATGATACTGGAAATCGCTGACAGGAGAAATATGAAGGCAAGATAAGTCGCAGGAAAGAAGAGGATACCAGGAGATCGATCACGATCATTGCCAACACCAGCATAATGATTCCTGAACTCCATAAGCTGTATTTACATGCACAACGAAGACAAGCAGTTAATTATCTTTCATTCATGTTTTCCTTGGATTGTTCATTTAATAAGAGAAGAATAGGCAGTCAAAATTCTCTCTTGTGAAAAAATGGCAAGAAGATTATCTACCTCCATGTTATCACGAAACAGACGAGGGAAACCGCACCTGTTATGTCACCAAATTACATCAAATCAATGATCCAGAGAAAAACAACTGATTCACTTTGAGTGATAAGTACTCTTCAATATTTAAATCCTCCATGGGAAGGGGAAAAATGAAAACATGCAGGCGAGAGTTCCAGGCTTTTACTGACCGATTGCAATGGCAAGGTTGATCAAAGCAGTTCTCCAAATGTCAAGATATTGCTCAAAGAACATGTAAAACACTGAATATGGGAATATTTCCATCTGCAAATTGGAAACAGAAGGATCGTTCATGAACATGGCCTGCATACACTTGATCATTGATTCTTAATTACTATATAAGCTGGCAGATACGTGATGGTAGCCACCCGTTCTTGAATTAAAAACTTGAGACTTGTCAACCACCATGCATACCAAGATTCGTCTAGTGTATTCTTAACATATGTTACGTGGTTCAAGGTTATAAACATCACAATAACTAATTCGTCAGCCCAGAATGAGGCCTTTCACCTTCAAAGATTTGGAGACTCTGGAACTGAACTCGCGAGCTGCTCTCAATGAGTCGACAAAGTCGCGCTAAAATAAAATTGGATTCACTAAGTTAGATTAATAATACTACTTGTAAGGGATGTTGTATAGGTAACTGAAGAGAGAAACTGACCTGCTTGTTTAGCGGAGTGTGATAAGTGCGGAAAGACGATGCTTGAATAACACCATTTTCGTAGCCTGATCATTAAACAGGCAAGTTTATGTTGACATTATTAAATCGTGAATACCCTGATTTATAAGTGAATGCAAACAATGATGTTAATTGGCAGTTCAACAAACCTTGCAGTTCAACGCTGCCAGTGTATGCACCATGACCACCTTTGGCACAATCAGCAGAAGGTAATGCATTAAGGAACCACGGGAGTTTCTCCTTAAATTGCATTGTAGATGGGCGATCGTTGTTTAGATCTGCATGACGGAAGCACTGCAAGAATTCCAGAATATGTTACAAGTTGGAAAAACCATCTAAATGCAAAAATTGTATTTCTTAATTCTTAGAATGAAGAATGTAGCTTACTGTGGTACAATCTTTGCACAATCCACCCAACCCACACGATCCTGAACCAGAAGAACAGCAAGGAGTCTGTACAACAAGGACAAAAGATCAGAAGAAAATCGATAATTGATTCTGTATAGTAACTTGGCATTCATCAGATAGTAGAACTGAGACAAAATCAAAGTAGTGGAATTATGACCTGGTCATCAGGCGGGCAATAAGTCGCATTAGTAAACTTCCGGCAGCAACCAAATGCTTCTGGAGATACCCATACAAGAAAATCATCAAGCCATGAAGCTGCTGGCTTGGCAATGTGGCTGGATTCTGGTCTCAATGATTCTCTTGCAATCTACGTGATTTACAAAATATCATTAAGAAAAGAAGAAGAAATGTGAGGCAGACTCTAATATTAAAAAAGAATATAGCAAACCTCGTTTAAGAGAGAGTTTGAATCACATTGGCTGATGGAGCATAGCTGATTTGTTTGATTTGATTCCGAGCTGAAGTAATTACAAAAGATTAACCGGAATATCAAGCTAATAGATGGAGAAATATGATGCAAATAAAATACTATTACCTATAGTTATAGTTCTTGACGACAAAGTAAAGTGGGGGGCCAATTCTCAGATACTCCGAGACATTCTTAAAGTATCCCTGCAGTAGATTGGGGAAAAAAACATCTTCAAATAATCCAAGTATGTGACCCCAAGTTTCCAGGATGAGAAGAGATCTATAACCTGAAGATAGGAGTCCCTTGGAAGAACAATCTGTTGTTCCAAACCAGGTTCAACCCTGGTAGCTAATGCCTGTAAGAGTGAGGAGATATGGAGTTCTATTCTTATCTTTTAAGACTCAGAGAACATAACAACGCTAAAAACATAGATTCTGGTATACTCACGATGCTAGCCACTGTAATTGCAGCGAAGATAGCAATCACAACTATTTTCACCACCCAAATACCGAGTATGGGCGCATGCACCTCCTAAGATTTCAACAAAGATAAAAGTGCATATTATTGAAACGAAGGAATCAAAAAATGAACAATATCAATGCAGAAGTCATCAGCATGCTACTAAGCATATACTATTGAAGCAGTTAATCATAGCATTGCAGTCTGACGATAAAATATTAAACAACCTTCATATATCGAGCCAGCAATCCAGGTCTTCTTACTCCACCAATGCCTAAACTTGTAAGTAATAAAATTTTAATTAGATTTCACAAAGAACTTCTCAACCAACACAAATTAAGATTTCAGTAACAAACTCTGCTGAAGAGGTTGCATTCTCTGAGCATAAGTTGATAAGCTACCAGCTACTGGTACCTTTGTCTGAGTCGGCGTTTGGTGAGGAGATCTTTAGACAAGGAAAACAATCTACTCTCCTATCTTCTGCCCTCAGAAAGTCGAAAACTATCAGAGCAACAAAGGCAGTGACTTGTAGCAAGAAGTCCAAGAGAACAGCCAATGCTGTAAGTTGCAAATAAATGGTGTCAAGTGTTAAGGCCTTGAGAAACTGGAACAAAAGCTACATGAACGGCTGGATAAAAGTATTCTGACCAGCAAACATGGAGAACACGCGGCATGCTGGCATGGGGATGAAACTTCCGACAGCAAATGCTAACACCTCGGATAGACTGGCAAGCGTTATTGATGGTCCTACTTCAACAAGTGCATTGCTAATCCGTCCTTCAATGGGAAGCTCTAGAGGTTGCCGTTTAACAGCATGCACCAATATGCACATGTTGTCCACCCCAACCTGTGGTGGAAATTCAGGATACATAAATTATAAATGAGCATAAATACTGGGGCTAAAGGATGCCACACTATGCTTGAGATTGAATTTATACAGAACTAGGACAAAGAATGACAACTTACGGCTAAAACAAGAAAAGGAATGACTTCCATGATGATAAGAGTAGACTTTACTCCAATGGCACTGAAAAACCCCACTGACCCAAGAACAGAGAGCATGACAAGGACAACTCCAGTTAGACCAAGCAATACCTGAATCCAACCATTAAAATTAAGGCCAAAGGAAGGTAAATGTGATGCAGGATAAACTTGTTTAAGTGTACAGAAAACCTTTAAGATAGTACATAAAATAGAAAAGATAAGTACCTTTGAGGAGACGTAGAAAGTAGATAAACGGGGTGTGTCGCCCAAGGTAAGAGAAATGTAGGCAAACATCACAAGATAGCTAATCTGAAATAAGGTCGTTACAGAAAAATTGTGTAAACATTTGCATGTAATCCGATATCATGAACTACCAACTTAGAAGGAGAAGTAAAGGCTGACCACTATAGTTATGGCATCTGCAGTGCTTTCTCTCTTCAGTTCTTCCTCAATCGAGCTTTCCGAGGAAAAGGAGAGAGTGAGATTTTGAGATTGTGCCATGGGCAACAATTCATTCTGTGGTAAAGCAAAAGGTAGCGGTAAACCGTATCATCAACTATGAAAAGGCCATTCTCTGCTTCTAGGAAAAATGAGCAGTATGAAGTACAAAGGAGAAAATGCTTTACACTTCGCATTGGAACAAAGACTTAGAAAATCGGAGGAATTACTTTCCTTAAACAATATTTTTTTTAATTCTCCTTAGGCTCTAATAATAAAAAAAACAGAAAATATGGCAGTAGTCTAGAAATAAACCTTTGCCAAGTCAATGAAGGCTTTCTCCCAAGCAACAGCTCTTTCAGTTTCATTCCCTTCTTTTTCAACTGCATTGTTCACAGGATATGTAATAATGAATGCGGAAGCCTGTCCCAGAAAAGAAGACATAAAAAGGTTACAGGCTGCACAACAACTCTAAGTGGATATGTTAAGGCAAATACAAGGAATTACCTCTGAATAGTTGTTCCCAGAGAAACCTCCTAAAGCAGTACTTGGCTCAAGAGGTGCTTTGAAGGCACTCCTACAGTTATCTGCAGAGGTATAGTGCTGGAATGGTACAAACAGAAAGATAACTCAATACGTGAAATTACATACTGCTAAGTTTCAGTAGCAACGCTTCTTTTGTGCCACATGCGTTTTATATCGGTTTGGTTTCATGGAATCATCTATCATTTCATTTAGGAAATTGTAACACAAACTTGCATGATAAAATCCTAATCCAATCAACAAGAGACATTTCTTCTCAATATTTAATCCATTTGGAGACAGAGCTCGTAATATTACCTGTAAGCAGTATTGTATGTGATCCACTCCTGTAGCATTGTCGTAGTTTGCAGGATTCATTTGGAAATACTAGATAGCCAGCCATGATGAGCAAAATGAAGATGATTAGACACAAGTAAAATTAAACAGCTCTTGATGGAACTATCTCATTACAGTGAGTGCAGTACACGATGAATAAACCCATGCACAACCTAAGTAAAATTAGGTGTAATTACCTATCCACATAAGGAAATGCAGATTTAATTTAAATAATGGTCCAAGCAAGAAACTAACCTGCAAAATACTTTGTGTTGCACAATCTTCACCCAGAGGTTTCAGGCAAATATCAGTCAGTGACACAATGGCCCCGGAATAATTTGAGCGGATACCATCAACCTGTTAAACTAAAAACAGCTTTATTAAGAAATTTCAAATAACAGTTTATAACATGTGAAACCCCTTCAATAAAAAAAAATCTGAAACCTAAGGAAGTACCAAAGTAAAGAGATTAAAGTTCCATAATATCACGAACTAGACAATTTCAACAACTTGAGCAAATTAAGAGCATAAAAACCACCTTTTTTTGCATATCAAATAGTAACTTAATGTTGTTCTCGGTCAGAATGCTTGGAGCCTTGCCTTCCCTGGAATTTGGAACAGTTGCTATAATCAGCTGTAAAAGATAGCATGGTTAGTTTGCAGCATATTGTACAGTTAATTTAATATATGAGATGATATCAGGGCAGCACGCAGTCAATTATTCTTTATTGGAAATTGGAATTAACCGACAGCATTCCGATTAATCCTTTCCATGCCTTTAAAATACATGCATATTCAGTGTTCAAATAAAAGCATCCAAACTAAAGGGTCTCCAAGTAATATCAATGACAGAAAAACAAAGAATTAAGTGTTCTAAGGAACCTGCTCAATTCTGTAAAATGGTTGCAGATGAGAGTCAAAGAAACGCTTCTCTTCTGCAGCCTTGCTCCCAGGTCCAACCCATAGCTGAAAAGTGAAACAATCTTAATATTTTACCAGACAAGTAAAAAATTAATTGGTGAATATAACATTCACAACATATGAACATAAACTTCTTTATTCTATTTTCTAAAAAACTATTCTGCATTCACTATCTACATTGGATAGTTACACATCAAAGATGCAAGTCTTTGACTGAGGAAACTTGAACATTTGACATAAAATAATCAAAGAATATATGCCAGCAAAAGAACTTCAGTCAAGATTCATTTGCCCAGTGCAAAAGGTTGTTCTAGACATTTACAGGAAGGCGCTGACAGCAAGAAATATTAAGTATGCATACTCAAAAGAGTACTTCTACAGAAAAGACGTGCAATGTAGCCGTCAGCAAATCCTACCTTCTCAGGCCTTGTTTCCACCTTAAATCGGATAAGACCTAAGCAGAGTAGAAGAACTGCAGCTACTGACACAATCAGCACGAGAACCGGATTTCTGGCTACCCAAGTCCCATATATCCTACGGAAAAAGACAACATAATATGTCAGTTTCTTTATGATACACCCAGTTGAGATTTGTGGCAGCGGTCAGAAACCTGTAAAACTTTGCCAAATATCCTTGGACGATTGAAAGCTGAACTCTTCTTCCATTAGGAGAAGCATCAGGAGCCTGATAATAATAGGAAAGAATAACATATCCAAATTTTGAGAAGTATATTTGCCAACAGAGCCAAATTTAAAGAGAGCACTTGTCACATAGACCAACATGCATGCACTGGTTTTCCCAGGTGCATATCTTGGAACTAAAAGTGAGAACAGATAATCATGCCATACAAACAAGGTAAGTTGCAACAAAACCACTCATACGAATTCATAATGAAAACCACCTGAACGGGATGATTCTCAACTTTCTGAGTAGCAACAGGATGGATGTCACTACCGTCCATTCCATTTGAAGATGGCCTCATTCTAGAAGTTTGGTTCCTTTCTCTCTTCCGGTGGATGAAACCCCACCCGAGAAAAGTGGAGAGCGATACAACGTAGAGTATGGTTAAAGCAAAGTCAACGCACTTGGCCTGCAGAAGTCGGACAATAAACTCCACTAGTCAAGGGGATCGCAGCTAAATTGGTTAAGATTAAACAAGTCTATCTATGTCTATCAAGCTTTGTCAACATTGATAGAGAAGGAAGTATAAGTCCTTATTCTACAATTACTCACCTTAAGAGAACCAATTTTAACTGAACATGAACCTCCCTCATGCTCTGTAGGAGGGGCAGCATTTGTGCAACCATTAGACAAAGGGCAATCGCCACAGGAACAGCCCAGTGAAGTATCAGCACAAGAAAAGGTGGTGACATTCATAGGTCTCATTCCAGAAGAATCGGGAGCGGTTGACCTGACTCCAATGGCATACGGTGAACCTGGTGTGTTTTGAGGTGCACGTCTACCAATAAAGGCGTACCACTCTGCGAGAAATAAACATGGTGGAAACATAGTCAGAAACCAGTTCCACACTACAAACAAAAAACCACACCAATAAGTTTCCACCAACGCATTTAAGCCGTTCAGATACTTCAAGGCCATTGCTCAATCAAGAATAACAGGTAGGAGGGGTATAGGGTGATAAAAGAAGATAGAGTAAGGGATGCCATGGTCATGAGCAAATTCACCTTCGAAGTTGTGAGCACCAGCTCCAATGAAGTCTAAAGCTCGAGTGTTCATAGTACCAAACTTCACATCTTTGCAGGAGTCATATAGACCTTCACCAAACGCATCAGCTATAAAGAAATCAATTCCATCCACAGTCAAATTGTTCTTAACCTGAAAAGATAGCAGTAGATATCGAATGAAGTTCACAAAGATGAATCATTTTGGACCAGCCTCAAAAGGCTGTGTTATTGAGCAAATACTTTGCAGGAAAAACAGTCACTTATCAATAAATGTTTCATCTACAAGACACAGAACCAAGCTGTTTGAATCTATTACTGTGGTCCAAGACTCTATAATGGATCTTCCAGTTCACCTATGAACGTTCAAGGAAGAAATGAGAGCAATGTCGAGATGAGAACGCAGTGGATCAGCAAGAAGCCTGACCTTGGATACAGCAGTTACATTGATAAACAAACTCTGATGCGGAGAACATGTAAGCTCACAGAACAGGTTCAAGAAATTTCTCAAGCATGCCGGGCAGCCAACAAGAAATGGAATTGCCTGCAGAAAGGATACCCAATTTCATGAAGAGCTTGAAAGAGACTCATAATATGTACAACACCACATACCGTAGTAGTTACACTTGCCCGGAAATTAGATTAATAAATCTCTTACCTGCTGAACTTGGGACCGCAATGTGTCGAACTGACGTTCTGTACAACACACATTGCCGGTAATTGTTGGGCACAAGCTCTGTATCTTTTGGGACAACAGATCATCCGGCTGAGAGACAACAAGTGAAGGAGCTACAACACTTAGAGGACCTCATAGAGCCCCAAAATAGTAACTCTGCTAGAAAATGAGGGGGAAAAAAACTCTTCATCCCCGTAATCCACCTCCACATATATATTACCTTCACAGATGGGGATCCATATGGACAGTTCAACACCTTCCCGTCCTCGCGTGCCCCGCAGATGTCATACATTGCACAATACTCTTCGGAGTGCCTTCCCCTGAAACCCAAAAGAAGAGAATCCAGTACTCACTTGCTAATCCAGGACATACTGAAATCTGATACACAGCCATCCAGCCATGGGACCAAGCAACTCACCCAATGGTACCATTGGACGTTGCCAGCAATCTGGCGTTAGACCTATCTGCAGCAATTAAAGATGGCAAGAACATGACCTGCAAGCCAAAAAAACAAAAAGCAGAATTCACATCACTTTATCAGCAAAACATTTTTCTCAGAAGCCTTTTCCTTAATTCTAGAGCTGTATGAAACAACAAAATAAGATTCCAATTCCTAGTTGAGATCAGCAGAGAAAAGCGATATGGCTGCAGCGTTGAATTCCGCCGTTCGTCCATTCGTCGGTATCGAAGATCTCGGACAGAGATAGGGGAAGAAGGTTGGCCCAGGCTCAAGGACGTCCAGTTTTTGATGCTCCAATTAAAATCCCCCACATCAGGGCTACCTTTCCGCGTCCAGCTGCGGTAGAGCGATCTGCTCTAAGCCTGTTTGCACCCGACGACTCAAAGAAGGATGCAAGTCAGGAGGAGTTGTCGGGCCTGTGACGGTTGGAAATCAATGCTATGATTGAGGAAGTAGAGACCAGGACAGAGGAAGCCGGCCCATCCAAGAGGTCTTTAGCCAGGCTACACCAACGGAGCTTTTCGAAACTCTAGGGGAAGAGTGAAATTGAAACACATTCCATCAGGTTTTCTCAGTTAACTTTCCTCCCACTCTTTTTTCTTTCTTTTATTCTTCTTCTCAGCAACCAAACAACGCCGCCGCAAAACAAAAAATTGTGGTCAACCGGAGTAAATGCATAGTCAAACCGAAGCCGGAAAAAAATTCACGGAGGCGAATCAAAAAGCGGCATGCAATCAATCAACAAGCAACTCTCCGTTTCATTTGCCGGTGCTTCTTCGAGTACGATAGTACCGACGGCGGAAAGAGAATAGAATTAGAAAGTAATTGAGGAGAAAATTGAGCAAAGCGGCGGGAAGAGTATCTCGCCTGGAAGAGGAAGAGGAAGAAGAAGACGGCGACCAGCAGCCGGAATTCCGAACTCCGCGGCGTCGCCATTGCCGCCGGAGAAAGAGCGAGAGTGGGGAAGAGGATGGGTTGTTCGGAGAGTTTGTTTGGCTGGCCGTTTAGGCGGAAGCGGAGGCGGAGGCAGGGCAGCACAGTGGATTTAATTAGTGGGAAGGAAGGAGAGCGTAAAGGGTGGCGTTGAATTTATATATAGTTACAGACTCGTGAGAGAAGAGTGCCAGAGCACAGCTCGGTGACGAAATACATTCCCTTTTTTTATCTAATAAATAATTTTTATTTTTACTTTTTTGAAGTTGGCATACGGCAAAGGAAACTGTTTATCATTAAGTAGCTGGGAACGGGGAAATGTTGAGCACCGTATTTACGTATGTGCCATTTATCTGCCAATATTGCCTTTTTCGGCCTTTTACATTAGGTTAATTTTGTATTTACATTCTTCACGAATCTGCAATTCTGTGTGAAGTGTGCTTAGAACTCGGAAGGTTTTCCTAGGAAATAAATGCTGATATTTTCTGAAAAATAAAATTTGAAAATAACAGTTTTATTTTCAAAGATTTTCGCAGCTGGAATTTTGCTTGCTTGATTCGACATCTGTGGGCTATGATTACAAAGTCTTCGTCATTATGATCATATGTAGGATTCACCATTTCATATTGTAGCACTAGACTACACTATTTGGGACGTGCCTAAATGAATAAAAAAAATTCGAATGGGCTTGGACAAAGATTCTGAAGACCAGACACCCAACTGAGACTCATCTTCAGGTGCATGCTGGTGCAACATTTTGGGATGGAAGTGGGATTTTCCCCTTCCTTTCTAGATGAATAAAAAAATTTATTCATAAAAAAAAAAAATTAAAATCTGATAATGAACAGTTGTAACTTTTGCTAAACTATGAAAATGAAACATGAATGATGGTAGATTATTTGAAATTAAATTAAATAAAAAAATTCATGAAATACCTAATAAAAATGAGAAATTAAAACTATTCAGTATAAAATGAATAAACAATAAATGTTATTTTATTAGAAAAGAAACTAGATATATGTTTAAAATTTCTAGTAACTTCTTGAAATAAAATGCAACACATAGATCTACCAAAAACTTATATAATACATCATTTTGGTATAACCGAATATAAGAATTCATTTTGAAATAATTTGTTTTTGTTAGAAATTATTGATTCGTCGGTTTCAAACGATCGGTGAGAGGAAAATAATATCTAATAAAAAGATGAAAGTTAGTTAAAAGAGAAAAATTAAGGAAATAAAATAAAAATATAAGTAATAATTATGAGTACTGCCATTCGAAATTTTTATCTCAACAACTGAAAATGTATTTTGCATTAATACCTAGACTGGGTACCAATCTAAGAGAGGAGAAGATGTGTAGGTTTACTGAACAGAGAAAAAGTTGACTGGTGGATATACAATTAGTTACCAATTACTTGTGTTGGTCACATCCGATCCCCATAAAAAAAAGGGGCATTTCCGAAATTGGGAATGGGAGGACATTAGTGGCCGGATTTAGTTGCCAATCTCTAATTCTGATAAACTAAATTGACAAGTTGAGGGTAATAAATTAGATGGCATGTCACCTCAAATTTAATGACATGAAAGTTAAGTCAGAAATAAAAACTAAATTGATTCTACGTTTAGAAGTGTTTTCATACTTCAAAAATTGAAACAGAATAAACGTTTTTATAAGTTCTTCTTTGAAAAATTTGAAAAACAAAATTATAATATAAAATCAGAAGTTCTCATTTGGAGGTTTTCTGAAAAGTTGCTTAAAAATATAAGATCATCCTTATAATTTATTTTTTCAAAAAATAATATTTTCATTTATTTATATCATTTTAAATTTAAATAATATAAATATTTAAATAATTTATTTTTTAGTCTTTTATACTTTATCTTATATTAAAATTTACTTCTAGTAGTTTATCAGTCGAACATTAAACTACTCTTTTAGAAAAGTGTTCCTATAAAAGCTTTAATAATAAATTGCTTCTGCAAAATATACAATATAACCAAACTGTAATATCTTATATTTAAGCATAGTAATAATTTTCCGGAAGGGATTTTTTTAATGTAGATAAACAATATCTTCGTCGGGGTACTAGCCTAGCTAGCTAGTTCAATACCGGAATCGTCATTTGCACCATAGTGTGATCTTAGGTATATAATTTAGAGAATTAGAAGATAGATTTCACTCCTTACAATGTACTGTATAGTATATGCTTCAATTAAATTTTGATTAATTTAATATCGAGATGGTGGTTTTTAAATAAGAGGATGAGGTACCTTTAAATTACTTTGGGTACCATAGAAATTCCCACACATATATATATGTAGTTCAAGCGAGCGTATGTCAAATCTACGCTAATCTTATTGTACGTCTTGTGATTTCACTATTTAGATAATGAATTAACCGGGATGTGTACCATAATACTATACTTTTAATGGGTGAATCTCAATCACTAATTTTTCAAATCCAAACTTTAAGATCAATTTAATCAACAAACAATATGCCTCTAATAGATATACCAAAATGCCTCTAATAGATATGCACGCATACGTATATTAAACGCAGGCGTACACTTGTATTTTCCATGTGTTTGTGAGCGTATAGTTTAGGCTAGCGTATGTATGGTGTATCATGTATGCTAACCTTACCATACGCTCATCGATTATATTTTTGCTATCTAGATCATGAATTAATCAAAGTTCGAGGCATGCTAATATAACCTAACCTCCAATGTGTAAACCTCGGTCCTCGATTCTTTAAACCAAGCTATAAGATTCACTTAATCAAAAAATTAATCGACGATTCCGATTTGTCGAAGCATATTGAACTACGTCTAATAGGTATGAATGTGGGCATATGTTATACGCCAAACATACGCTAGCCTTTGCCATATATGAGTTTGTGTATGGGGTCAAATTGTTATACATACTTCTCTAGTGTATTTCTAGAGATATTCTCTATCTAGATCATTAATTAAACTAAGTTTGAGGTATGTACAATACCTTCACTTGTAATGGATAAATCCCAGACAATTCTCTAAACCCAAACCCGAAGATCTATTTTTTTCTTTTTTGTGTGAGATTTTTTTTTTTTTGTAACACTTTCAGCTTTGAGCTATATTAAGAATAAGTTTCGAATTCGAATTGGCGACCATTTTGCTAATGATTATTTAGTTGGATACATTGAGAAAGACTTACTTAAGAGTGTAGACAACAAACGTAATTTGCGTTTCTTCCGGAATATGAAAACACGTTTTGGGTTTACGAAAACAATGATTGTATTAATTGGATATATTTCTTTATATCTAATGATAGATTATGTTGATATTGTTAGTTTCAATTGTACACCGGGGGATGACTTCCAATTCTAAACCTAACTCATTTGCGTTAGTAAAGGTAGAAACCGTTTTCCCCTCCCCTTTAAGAGCTTTGCTCCTTTTTATTTTCTTTCCTGAATTTTCGCAGCCATAAAGGCGTACGTAACCGAACCTTGAACTAACATGTGGCCAGTGGGAAAGGGAAACTGGTAGTAGCAGTCCTGACGCTGAGCTGATTTCCAGGTAACGTCAGTCGAGAAACCTTCCGATGTCGTTTTCTTTGGGGGTGGTGGCGGTGGAGAGAATGAGATCATTAACATCATCTTTTGGATTACCGTGTGAAACTGAATGAGAAGGCAGAGGTGGCAGTGGGCAGTGGCACACTGAAAGTGGAGTGGGAGTGCGAACTGATCCAGAAAGGAGTGGGGTTCGCAATGCTACATTTGTCACTACGCGCATGCACTCTTTTTTAATTTCTTCGTTTCCCATACTCGTAGAGCACTAGGTTACAATTGTGCTTCATTCCCAATACGGGCGGCCAACATGACCATGCTTCTTTTGGTGTGTGCCGAGCTGAAGCTTTTTGTTTGCTAGTAATATGATGAACCCAAGTGCAAATTGATAAGGGTTTGGTCGAGGCTGGCTATTGGCTACATATGTAGGTTCATTTTTGTTTTTGTAAATTGTAGATGATGTTGTGGCCATGTGGATAAAATTCGTATATTATATTCTTATCTATTTCATACTCATGATTTGAATCCGTCCGGTTTTGTATTATTCGACCTGATCTGTATTGGGACGGGTAAAACATGACAAGCAATAGCCTAGGGTGGGATATGAATTACTACTTTTAACTGTCTTGTACTCCATTTTTCTACCCATTCTCCTATCACAGTTTTCTTTGATACCTAACTGTATTTATCCTATTTCAATCATAGTTTCACCCGGTGAAACTTTAAATACGTGCAAGACTTGATCTTTTAATTATTTAGAGACATTTACTCATTATATTGTGACTATTTTCCCATTCATTAAGTGCTTTCCTTTGTTTTATCTTAAAACAATTATTTTTAACATTTATTGTCTTCAAATAGTATGTGAGAATGAGTGGGTATTACCCGACTTGACCTGTGCTTGGTGCGAGATCGATATGGGTATTGGGAGAACCATCCCACCCGTTTGCCATTCCTGCTAGCACTGATGGTTAATTACTACAAGTGGGCCCGACGATACATGACATTTTGGATCTTAATTTAGGGCTCGTTTGGAGAATATGAGTCTAAATCTATATATTGTCAACAATCTAAAAATTCCAACTTTTCAGATTGTTGAAAATAGATTTTAAAATTTTTATTGTTTGGTAAACTTTGATTGTTAACATTCAATAAAAATAAAAATTATAAATTTATATTAAATAACATATTTATCCATAATAAAAAAAATAGAGTGGTTCGATAAATATTAAAAACTTTGTTGATAAATATATTTAATGTGATAATTAAATAAAAGGTAGAGATAAAGTAGGAGAAAAATATCTCACGAATCAAGATATATAATCTCTCTGAAAATGAGAGATATGATATCCACGGATTTTAGAGATTTGAAATCTCTGACGCTAAAATCCATCATACAAAAAGAAACAAAAAAACATAACATTCTACAAAATCTATGGATTCAGTGAATCCACGGCCTAAATCATGTTCTCCAAACGATCTCTTAGATCCATTCTTTTTAGGGACTCGATCATTTCAATTAGAATTCGTTTGCTTCATGGATTTGGTAAAGGATAGGCATTTGAGTCCCTCCTATG